CTCATTTAAATTTGTTGTATCTCAAAAATGTTTAACATTACTGATAATTTTTTAAAGATTTATTTATTTATTTATTTATTTATTTATTTATTATGTATACAACATTCCTTCCATGTATGCTTACCTGCCAGAAAGAGGGCACCAGATCTCATTATAGATGGCTGTGAGCCACCATGTGGTTGCTGGGAATTGAATTCAGGAGCTCTGGAAGAGCAGTCAGTGTTCTTAACCTCTGAGCCATCTCTCCAGCCCCCCATTACTGATAATTTCTAAATCAGATTTGTCTCACTAATAATATGCGACATGAGCACACTGGTCCCCAGATTTCACTTATCTTTGTGTATGTCTGCGGTGACGATGCTTGTGGAGGGTCTTTCACCACGTGGGGCTGGGGATGGAACTCAGGTCCTCAGGCCCGACTGGCAGCAGGCCTCTTTACCCACTGAGCCATTTCACTGGGCTAGTGGTCCTCAGACTTCAAACTGAGGCAGTGAGCATTCTCTTCTTACAGCTTTTGAAGTTCTAAATCTTGCCTGGACTTTGGATTCTGCTAAAATTAGCATATCTAGCTTCTGCTTAAGGCCATAGCACAGAAAGTTGAAAAAACTACCCACTAAGTGGGACGGTGGTGGCACACGCCCTTAATCCCAGCACTCGGGAAGCAGAGGCAGGCAGATCTCTGTGAGTTTGAAGGCAGCCTGGTCTATAAAAGCTAGTTCCAGGACCAGGCTCCATAGCTACACAGAGAAACCCTGTCTCAAAAAAAAAAAAAAAAAACAGACAGGGGGCTGGAGATATGGCTCAGTGGTTAAGAGCACTGACAGCTCTTCCAGAGGACCTGGGTTCAATTCCCAGCACCCACATGGCAGCTCACAACTGTCTGAAGATCTAGTTCCAGGGGCCCTGACACCCTCACACTGATGCACATAAAATAGAAGTTAAATAAACCATAAAAAAATAAAAAAAAAACAGACAAGAAAAAACAACCTACTTATTTTGACTGAAACACACCAACCCATTTCTGCTGTAATTCCTTTCCCCTTAAACTCTGCCCTAACGTTTTCTTCAGCATTTTAAAATATTAAATGAAAGAAACCACTTATTGAGTCTCATGACCACATCACAGAACCCCAATCCAAATATTTTTGCTCCCAGGCCCTCCCTTGCTACCATGTAAGCTTTTAAATAGGGTTGGTTTGTCATGGTGCTATGCGGTGGTGTGAGCACTACAAACAGTTCAGGGGTAGCTACACAATGTGGTTCCCCCAGACCTGCCTCTGTGATCTTTCCATCTTGACATCAGCGGAGTCAAACACACCCTACCCGCATTCAAGCCGGGACGGACGGACGTGGGAGCTGAGAAAACGAAAACGGCGGAGAGCCACCGAGGAATCAAGTTACTAGACAAACAGGGCACTTGCAATAACAAGGTGTTGGTAAATGATCTCCCTCAGGAGCTGGCCTGCTCCTGTTTCCGCCTCCCCTTAAGCTGTGCTGGGCAGGGAGGCACACACCAGGAGAGGGAGGGGCGAGAAATGACCACCACTTGGGTGTGGGAGCAGCCTGACCTTCAAAGCTGAAGCTGTTCCTAGTGACTGCCCTCCTGGTACTTTGGACCTGTTTACACTTACAGCAGGTAAAATCTGGCTGGGTAATTAATACATTCCACCAGCTCCCATAGCATGTCTGCTGTTTAAAAAAAAATCCCTCTTCATTACAACATAATTATGATATACAGATATACAGATATATCCAGAGGTATCTATACAGATATATAGATATGTGTATATTTATATATGTATTTATATATATAATATCTCTCTATATGTACATACATATCTATCATCTATCTATCTATCTATCTGTAATATTGTAGTGCTAAGGGTCAAACTTAGGATCTTGCATATACCAGGCAAGCACACTACTGTTGAGCTACACCCACGCCCAGTATTTATTAATGAAAATTGTCTGCTATATTGGAATATATAATCATTGCGTATTCATGTGTATTCTTATTTTCCTTTGTAAGATTTTTTTCAAGTTTGTTTAAACATTCACAATGTCCTATTCCTGCTATTAGACTTGGGGCAAGGGTTTGAGTCAGGGTTTCTCCGTGTAACAGCCCTGGATGTCCTGGAATTCACTCTGTAGACCAGGCTGACCGCCTGCCTCAGCTTTCTGTGTGCTGGATTAAAGGCATGGACCACCACACCTGATTTCGATTTTTAAATCTATTTTTTTTAAATATTACGTGTGTGTGTGTGTGTGTGTGTGTGTGTGTGTGTGTGTTCAACAGCAAGGAGGTCCAAGGACAACATACAAGATTTAGTTCTTTCTATTGTATGATCTCTGGGGGTCAGATCCATGTGGTCAGGCCTAGGGGAAATTGCCGAGTCTTTAAATTTTAAGTTGATTATTTAATGGGTGGGGGTGTGTGCAGGCACGCACTTGGCCGTCTCATACCTGTGGAAACTCCCTTGTTGAGGCAGGGTCTCCCATCCTAAGAGCTTCAGGGTGACTGTCCCATTTCTGTCTCCCACCAGGACGCAGGAGTGCTGGGATGAGATGTGTGTCACCATGTCCAACTTTCTTATTTGGGTTCTGGGACTGAACTTGGGCCTTTATGTTTGCACAGCCTGCACCTTTAGATGTGTTGAGCCATCTCCCTGGCCCACTATTAAGGTTCTTGTCAGGCAATGGTGGTGCAGGCCTTTAACCCCAGCACTCAGGAGGCAGGGGCAGGCAGATCTCTGTGAGTTCAAGGCCAGCCTGATCCACACAGCTAGTTACAGGATAGGCTCCATAGCTACACAGAGAAACCCTGTCTCAAAAAAAAAAAAATTTTTTTTTAATGTTTAGAATTATCTGATTCTTCATATTGGCCAATGTTGCCTATTGGTTACTATTTCCTTTTGGTTATCATCATCATCATCATCATCACTATTAATCTGGCAGTGCTCAGAATTGAATCAATGGTCCCAAGCATGCTACACTCAGCTATTAACTCTCTAAACTCTTGAGACAGGATCTCACTATGTTGACTGCACTGGCCCCAAACTCATGGTGCTCCTGCCTCAGCCTCTGGAATGCCAGGATTACAGGTGTGTGCCACTGTACCTGGCTGGATTTTTCTCCAGAGTCTCTTTCTTGAGTCTTGAAGCTGGTAGCTCTTCCTTCACCAAGAATAGGAGCCATGCCCTCAAAGAAGTGTGGCAGGTCCTGGACTAGCGTGCTTAGGGCAGGATTGCAACAGCCAGGACAATCCCCTATGGGCTCTAGCTGACAAGATTAGTTTGTTTACACTACTTTGTTTGCTTTCTGTATCTTTTTTTTTATAGCTCCCCTACTAGTGAGGTCTTTTATACAAAACTGGCAACATAGAAAATCCAGTCTATTTACAGACTGGATTTCATCAGCATTTCCATGTCTGTGGTCCCAGGACGCTACCCAGGATTCCATGTCTTTCTTAGTTGCTGTGTTCCCGTGTTCTGAATTGTTCTGCTTTGAGTTGCCAGGGAGTTTCATCTTCTTGGGTTTCCAAAAAAAACCTCTAGAGTTCGCCCTATTCTCTTTTCAAGGTGGAATCAACTTTGCTCTTCTAGTTTGCACCTTTAACCCATAGCATCCTTTTCAATCTGCTGCATCTGCTTAGAGGGGCAGCAGCTGGGCCAGTGGGCAGCAGTAACGCGGACAGGGCACCACGGCTGTGAGTGGGGACGATTCTGCCAGCTCAGCTGAGTGGAATGCTGTTGACCAAAGTCCCTGGAAAACCACACTAGAAACGAGTTCTCAGCAGGCACTCAAAAGGAACAAAAGGTCACCTCAGCACGCGTAACCGCGTAACCACGTTTGACACAGTATAACACAACTGTGTTGCAAAGGAATGAACCAAACGCTTCGACACCAATTCGTAGCATTTATTGACATTTCCATTTAAAATGCTAAGAAAGCTGTAAAAATTGTAAACATGGGAACCAAACACTGCATAAATTATTTCCAAACTCTACAGCACATTAGAAAACAGTGCAGCTAATTGAAGGGTAGAAACGTGACCAACAAATAGGAGGGCGGGCTCAGTCGCCAAATCACACACCCATACTGAGATCTGAGTGCCCGTTTGAGATCAGCAAACCATGATTGTCAAGTTGCAGTCTTGATGCCACAGGTGGCCCAATTTGCTCTGCAGTTTTGTATATTAGCAGCACGCATCTGCTAGCACCGACCTCAACCAAGCTGGAGGCAAGCCAGACTCCCTGCAGCCAGGCAGAGCAAGCTTCCCTGCTAAGGCTAGCTCCCATCTCTGCTCCTCTCTTCTCTACAGCGAGCTCTGCAAAGAGGAGAGCAGAACTTAGAGCCTTTCTATAATCGTTTCTGAACCAACTCCCTGATAGGCTCAGAACGACGGAATTAAGGACCAGAAACCTTGGCTCCTCTGGCACCTCCTGCTTCTTTTCCTAGCACAGGGGAAGAACAGGGCGTCTAGCTTTAGCTTAGCCCTATGATCCCCAAGCCGCGTCATGAGTCCTTGGTATCTGGCGGGTGTGAGAAAAGACTCAGTGATGCTCCAAGTAAATCACTGAAGTGGCCCTGAAGCAGAGAAACCCAGAGGAGGGAAGCAAAACAGGAGCCTGGATGTGACCTGCTGGGCGGGACACCGACCTGGGAGGAGCATCCTGGCTGGTTCCTAACCGATCCGTGTTCCCAAAGGCATTTGCTATTCCTTTTCTACACTTGAATGCTGCTGTGTGTTCTTAATTGTCCAGTGTCCTGTTACACACACCGGGCGTGAATTAACACTGTACCACGACGGTTCAGTTTTCGAGTCTTTTAAACGTGGACAAAAGAATTCTAGCTTAAACACCCACAATCACCACCCTCTTCCAGTCCCCTCCCCTTCAAAGCAAACCACCTGAAATGTGCACCGCTCTTGTTTACTAGGTGACGCCCAGAAGCCTATGTGTTCCATGAGAATGTTAAAACAGAGGCCCACAGAAACCCTCTCACCTGTTCCGGGAATGCCTGTAATGGGCTGGACTAAATGGCGAAGCTCCAGGGACTGTCTCATTCGGACGTGTTTGTGCCCACAGGTGAAGCGGACTTCCTCCTACGCCAGCTTGGACCAGCTGTGGAGGAGCAGGCTCTGCTGACAAGCTCTGGAGCCTCGCTTTGGAGGTAGAAATGGCAGGGCAAAAACTCCACTAGCAGTGAGCTTAGTAAAGACAGGAGCACCCGGCCCTGTGCCCAGAACCTTGATCCAACATTTGTCCAAGTGTCTAATTCATTCCCACCTAAGAATCCAGGGTGAAGGGGTCAAGGCAGGCCTAACGAATGATTAACTCGTGAAGTCCTCCCAAAACAGACTAGTGTCTGGGGACTAGCTTGGTGTCTAGAGCACTCACAAAGACCTGAAACTGCAGTAAACATTGTAGACAAGAAAATAGGGGTTTGCTGGTTTCAGCCGGAAGCCTTCCAGGCATAAGAGACCTGCACGCGCTTTGGGTCACAGGCCTCATGTCTTCAAAAATTCCGCTTGGCAAAAACCCAACTGCTTAAAAGTCATTGTGCCATCAAAATCAACACACACTCTGAAATGAAATAAAAATTGGAGGAAAACATGGCGGTGTAAAGAAGCCAGATGTACCTATCCACAACCTGCTAAAGACCACAGAGGGCCATGGAGATCCGCCACAAGCTAAGGGTCCATGTCAACACCACTGACTTACTTTAGACCAGACATCAGCAGTTCTTGAACTCTGATCTCCCTTCCCCCACCGCTCTTCCTAGCTAGGCAGAGCCTCACCAGCCTGGCCATTTGCTTGCTGCCTCATTGGACAGGTTTCCTCACCCTGCTTCCTCTTCTCAAACAGTGCAGTTAAGGGTTGAGTGTTCACACTATCTCAGCTCAAGAGCGAGGTCACTTTCTTTTTCTTTCTTTCTTCCTTTTTATTTTTTTGAGACAGGGTTTCTCTGTATCTTTGGAGCCTGTCCTGGAACTCACTCTGTATACCAGGCTATCCTCGAACTCACAGAGATCCACCTGTCTCTGCTTCCCAAGTGCTAGGATTAAAGGCATGCGCCACCACCTGGCTTAGAGTACCTTTTTTTTTTTTTTAAGAGTACCCAATTTTTAAACCTTTTCCCAGGACAACTGTGGGACTTACCCCCTGCCATACCATTACTGGCCTGAGTAACATCAAAGTGGCTTCTGCAGTTGACTTCTCCCCTAAGATCTCATCAACCCCAAACATGTGACTTCAATGACTTCTAAATACCCAGCACACCTGTGTCCTTTGCATGCTATGGATATCTAGCCCACGCTGCTTATCTGGAGTGTCCAGCTTTTATAACCGTCTGCACTATCCAGATGAGAGTCTCAGCTCTCTCAGAAGACAGGGATCATGTCTGCTGACCTACATAGTATCAGAAACTGCAGAAACTCAGGAGCAAAAAAAGGATGCTTCGGGGGGACCTTTGGAGCCAACAGAGAAAGCGGTCACTCTGAAGCACACCGGCAGTGAGAGGGGTCACGTGACGCTGGGCTCTCAGTGTGGGTCTGACTGCCTACATGTGAACCTAGATACTGGCAGATCACAGTGTAACACACCATCCACGCCAGAACATTCACACAGATGACATCTTTCATGTCCACAGTGACGGAGGCTCCCTCCTCAAGGGGCATTTGCAGGCAGAATCACACTTGATCCTGAGAAGCACATCCTATGAGGTGGGGGGGGGGGAGGGGGAGGCGGCATGGTCTCGGTGGTAACAAGACTGACATTCTGAAGGAACCGGACACAAGGGATTAGTAACAAAGGAGACTTCCAAAAAGCACGTCTCCAAGCACACTGTCCTAAAATGCTGTCTCAGACTTGCAGCAAGTTTGTGTTTCTCAACAGAACTCGTAAAATTAGGAGCAAAGGACAGACATTACACTTAACTTTTATTTTGGGGTGCTTTAATATGTGGAACACCAAAATTACCCACGTTGAACAGGACGACCGTCTTCAGGGGAGCACACTGGATGAGTGACCGGACACCCGTTGGGCCTGGCATATCCCATAGCAGTTCAAGTGTGGTAAACCTGCCGCGGCAGGTGTTTAGGGGGAAGGAGTATAAACTGAGTGTGCTTTCCATAACCAACAACCGAGCGCGGGAGCTCCCAAAAGGTCAGCGTGACAAACTACACCCCACCTTTGGTTGTGACACCCGTTGAAAGGTGTATCTGCTCTAAGAATAAAAACACAGGTAGAATCCCTTTGTTGTAATTTCAAAGGCATCGAAATTGCTGTTGTCACCACATCCTCTGACACCGAGGCTTATTTTGGCAGTGTACAAAGGAGATGATCATTCTTAGGATGCTCAGTGTCCAAAACACTCAAGACGCTGGGTGAGAAAGGGCCGTTTATTCTGTGTTGTAGGATCTGAATTTCTCACAAGGTGTCATCATAAAATTCTGCCTGAATACTTGAGACTTGTATTTTTGAGTGGCTTGGGAAGAGGATCTTCCAGCGCGGGAAGAGTATATACTAAACCAGGATCAGCAAATAAACCCAGAGCAGGGTCTCCTCCCATGCTCTGTAGACTGCGGGCCACCTGAAGATGAGTGTGGGTCCCCTCCTGCATGCTTTCTCATCTGAAGTGTGCAGCTAAGCACTGGCTGTACCAACTGTGTGTCCTGAGATTGACTAAGAAGGGCAGAAATAATTCTGCCACCAGGCACACGGGCTGGGAGCTTGTTCAAGCTGTTCTCGTGTCCTTAAACCTTGCCCAGACATACAGGTTCTGATTAGGCCAACCCTCCCCACCCCAAACTCGACCCCATTATCTGTTGTGATGAAGAGGCTCGGGGTGGGACTCCTGTTAGTCTGCAATGTCCCAGAGTCTCACTCGGGCACCAGAATACAGAATGCCATTGAGAATAATGTCAGAGGCTGAGTGACCTTACTTCAGGAGTGACCTGTGAGATGACCTCTTGCTGACCCAGAGTTAAGACAGTTTTTGGGCAAAGAAAAAAAATAGCAAAATCAGAAATGGGGGAGCTTCCATTTCCTTTGTAGTCTCAAAACCCTGTATTTCTTCGGTCATTACGGAGGTTGATAGGAACATAAGCCCACTTCCAGGTTGGAGCTCAGGGAACCTGACTAGTAAGGGTAGACTCAGGACAACCGGGCGGTCCCGAGAATCACTGAAAACAATGTCTGCTTCCGTAAGACTTCTCATTCAAACATAATCTGTGAGCAAACTGTAAGCAAGCTGCCAAAACCTGGCAGCGAGGACACCCAACAGTCTCGTTCTGTAGGATGGACGAGATGTGCCGCCATGTCACCAAGGGCTGGCGAGCCCAACCAATAAACAGCAAATACAACTAAGACCGAAAATCTAAACTCTGATATGTATTTTGAATAACCAAATAAATATTAAGCTTCCCCCTCCCCAACGCAGTTCCTTTTTCCTTTTCTTCCCCCCACCCCCAGAACACAACGAAACCGCCAACATACTCTCCTACTGCAAAAGCCACAGTGGAATCTCACAGACAGAAAGGTGAAGGGCCCTCGGAGCTGTAGCACCAGAAGAAGGAGAAAGAACGCAGGCGATGGCTTTGTCTGGAATCACCAGGCTCCACAACCCATCACTAGGTTTCTCACCAGTAGCGTTTTAGATTACCAAACAGTCTCAGGGTGTCTTGTTGTTAACGTTGCTATTAAATAAGTTCCCGTGGAGGAAAAGAGGGACCAAGCTGTGACTAAAATGTCTTGAAATCTCTCTTCTCAGGAAGCAGAGCAGCGGGTGTGTTGGACGTGCCGGTCAGACTCCCATGGGAATGCTGCCCCCTCCATCCCTAACCAAACCTATAGGTTTTAATCTTTTTGCCTTTGAAAGAAGAGACTAACACATTTTTGTTAGTTTAGGTCTGGGTTTTGGTTTTTCTCTCTTTCTCTCTCTCGTGTGTGTGTGTGTGTGTGTGTGTGTGTGTGTGTGTGTGTGTGTGTGAAGAGCTGGCTCTTGGCCCAAAGTACACACATCTTGACTGAATCCAAGTGGCCACCAAATTGCTAACTCGGCAAAGAACCATGAGTTGTCTTTCTGGCATCTTCTACAATTGCAACTTCTTCCATTCCTCGGGCGGCTTGCCCGGAGATGCTGCTTCCGACTCTTACAAACACCCACTCAGTTGATTTCCTTTTGGTCTTGCTTCCACAGGAAGCAGATACTTGGCAAACCTGCAAGGGAGGCTGATCAGCTGTGGAAGTTCTGTACTGAGCCCTGTTTCTGGGAGAGCCGCAGGAGCTCCTCGCGGATCGCTTTGATGAGGGAGGCGGAGGAATGGCCAGGCTGGAGGTCCTCTGTGGAGCTGGTAGGGTAACCCAGCCCAGGGCCCTGAAGCCCTCGGTGGGCGAGGTTCCCGGGAGGAGCTGAGGGCTCCCTGCCCGAAGTCCTTGGCACCTGAAACAGCGGTGAAGAAGAATACGCTTGATGTCCGAGCATGTGGGTCTGAAAGACATGGTAAATGTTATTACACTTTCCCTGCGGAAACAAAAGAAGAAGCAAATTGACACTGGTCCAGGGATGCTAAGCCGCCCTCCTCCCATCTCCCACCAACTCCCTCCGCTCTCCAGCGTGACCCCTGCCACCCAAGTCCCTGTGTGCTGGGTGTGGAGTGAGTGGGTACAGACAGGAGCTGCTCCAGGGCTTCTTGGGGAGAACAGAGAAAGACTAGGAGCTGGAAAGGAAAAGTGGGGGAAACCTACACAGGGTGATATCCCAGAGTGGAGGCAGCTAAGGAACACTCGATGAGAACCCATGCCTCTGTTCTGGCGCCCAGAGAGTATGCATAAGAACATACTGGGACCTCAAGGCTAAGGCCAACCACCAGGTCATTTCCCGTCTCTTCTGTTTTTGAGTCGGTGTTCTTATCCTTAGGCCCCATCACTTTCTGACCTCCACTCCTCAACTGCTGAGATCACAGGCAAGTTCCTCACACCCGCCCTCCTTCTCCGCCTTAGCCAACAGTTATCTGTCATGCACTCTTAGAACCTTTTTAAAAGGTAGGCTATTTTTACTAGAAGACATTTAGTTTTCCTGATACGGCAGACTATCGATGGATTTGGCATTATTTTGGTAAGAATGATTATATTTTTTCAGTGACTATTTTTCTTTTTTTGCAGTTAAAAAAAAAGGATCTCAGATTAGTGACCTCAATCACTGTACAGTTCAGTATGCTAAATCACAGGTCAGTGAACTCCATCAGTGTACAGTTCGGTATGCTAAATCACAGGTCAGTGCACTCAATTATAGGTCAATCAGCATACATGCTTTTACTAAATCAGTATGCAGGCCGGTACACTAGCTCAGTGTTCTAAATGTGGGGCAAACGCAGCCTCCTGGCCCTGACTATTTCCACTTCTCACGTCCCCACACCGTGATGAGAGGTACTTCAAGCGAACATTGCTGGACCTAGCAGAAAGCCCACAGCACTTCTGAAATGAAGCCGAGCACAGAACACTTTAAGCAAACGCCTGAGGCTATTAAGTCTAGTAAAAGCCTTTTAGTGGAAAACCACACTCTTAGAGTTAAGCTTCCTTTCACCAAGTAAAAGCTTCTCATTGGCTGGGCAGTGGTAGTGCACACTGTTAGTCCTAGCAGGGTAGCCATGGCCACACAGTGAAACCCTGTCTCAAACAAACAAACTTCTAACTATGAGAGGAATTTAATATGGCCAATAATGTTACCATGGCCACCAAGAAGGTAACAGCAATGAGATTAAAACAAAAGCATCTTCAGGTTTGCATTCTCAAAATCAGTTTGCTTATGCCAAGATAGAAAATTCTTTTAAAAAAATAGTTATTTTCTTTATTTGTGTTTGTGTGTCTCTGTGTGTGCATGCATATATGTCAGTGTGTGTTTGTGTGTATGCATGTGTGTGTGTGTTTGTGTGTGTCACTGTGTTCCCAGTGAGGACAGAAGAGGGCATCAGATCCATTGGAGCCAAACTTATGTCCAGCTGGAGAGCCACTGGACATGGGTTCTGGTCCTCCTGATTGAACAGCAAATGCTCTTAACCACTGATGAGCTCTCCAGACCCATAAAATCCTCGAGAAAATAAGAAAAGTCCTGGCAGAGATTAATGGTGCTCACGCTGAGCAGCTAGAAACCGAAAGGATGATTGATGCCTTGAAATGCCTCAAGTCAGGCACTTAATGTAAAACCATCCCAGATGCTGGTCAAGGTGCGAGTGCCTTCAGCACCGTAGGGGCACAGAAAAGGCAAGAGTGTGAAAAGCTACAGTGACCACACCAGAGAAGTAGTCTGGATTTTATTCCGATCCACAACTTGAAATCTGAAACCCGTCTCAAGGGAAATCACAGCCGAGCTACATGTGGAAGGGAGTTTAGCAAACTGCAAGCCCAACCAAGGTAAGACAAGAGGAGTGAAGAGGTGGGAGCCGCGCTTAGCACAGCGTTTAAAAACGGAGCGACTGTGTGAGTCCCCGGTACTCACGGCTTCTCTTCGCCCTGCCTCCTCCTCCCCGTACACAGGCCAGCCTGGTCCCCCGTACTGGCCGCCTCTGCCAGGAGGAATTTCCACGGGCTGGGCCCCGATTCTGCTTGCGATTCCCACCTGCGTCAGGTGCTGGATCTGGGAGCCTGGAAGAACACAGCAGCGACCAGGTCAGCGTCCACAGCACATCAAAGGGAGGCTGCCGAGCACACCTTCAGCTCTGGCTGTGGGCTTCTTCAAGGAGAGGGAAAGGCACGTGTTTTTAAACCCTGTGCTGATCTCAAACATCTCCAGAAGGGTCGTTTCCTAAGAAAGCAGGCGGGAAGGCGGCTTCCCTTCCCCCCTGCACGTGATGCTGACACAAGGCTCCTAACTCACCGCCACCATCAGATGTGTGGGGATGAGGGATCACAGAAGGTGACTGGAAAGGGGCAAAGTGCTTTGAGACTGTAAAGAAGCCGAAGCCTGGCACCTTCCTGCTTGTGTGAGAGTCACAAGGACCCGAATGCTTGATGTGCTTTTTTTTTTTTTTTCTTAAAAAGCAGGTGATAAAATTAGTTCAATCCAGAACACTGAACTTACACTGTATGGTTCTGACAACAGCCACAGCACAAGCAACCCCACTCGCTAGCTTATGGGCAAGGCCAAGGTCTGCCAGTTCCTCACACCCAGACATCAGCTTGGGTGTGCACACACGCAGACTCTCTCTCTCTCTCTCTCTCTCTCTCTCTCTCTCTCTCTCTCTCTCTCTCTCTCTCTCTCTCTGTGTCTCTGTCTCTCTCGTCAGCATCTGGCACATGGAAACACCCTTATAATACAATCAAGCAAGAAAAGAATCTTTATTGTATTTTCTGGTGGCGCGAAGGACCGAGTCCAGGATCTTGTATCTGCTAGACAAGTGCTCTCTCTACCAGTCAGTGAGCTACATCCCAGCTCCTACATCTTGAGCACTGTGAAATACAGTACACAGTTCTAAACACTCCTAGGATCATCGAGTTTATCCATGGCACAGAAGCTCTCTGGGGGAGCTTGGGGTAGCGCGGCCTCTCCATTTGGCCCATTAGCATGCTGTCCAGTTACCCTCAGCTAACAGACTACATTTTAAAAAGAACTCTTTAATGGTTCTGTTTGGACATACGGCAATAACTGATGATCAGGGAAAAAAAGTCTGGGTCTCAGCCAGGGCAATGAGTTCCACATGAGCCACAGTGCGCAAACACAAAGACTGCGGCATGAGAAAATCATCCACCAATGCCGGCACTGGCGGCTCCACAGACACGGGCTGAGCTCATCTTTAGAGGTTACAGATGTGATCCAGGAAGGGATTACAGCGTACCTTTTGTGTTAAAACACACAGTGGCTAAAATCCTAACGTAGTTCTGACTTTGAATATTGCTTTGATCCCTTAACAAAACAGTGCAGGCTTCCAGCCGACTGGGCTTAGAGCCTGGCAGACCCCCAGGGCTGACAAGCCCTTGTCCTCCACTGTCCTCTAGAGGGGGCTCTTGCCCCTGCTGGGCCTCAGTTCCTCACGTCTTCAGTCAGCAGGGAGGGATATTTCAAGTAACAGGAGATACAAGGCAGACCAAGCACCAACAAGTAGGAGGCAACGAGAGGGTCTTAAATCATTTCAAGCCTTTCTTGATCTCTTTATTTTAAATAGCTGCACATTGCCAGATATGACAGTACACAGCTATAATCCCAGCACTCAGGAGGCAGAGGCAGGTGGGTCTCTGTGAGTTTGAGGGCCAGCCTGGTTATATGGCGAGTTCTAAGACAGCCAGACCAACACCGTGAGAAATAAAATAAGATGACTAAGTAGCCGCATGATTTACTCGCTGGGTACCCAAGGAGGTAACATCCCTCTTATTCTTTATGCTCTGAATAATGACGTGCTAAACATCTTGGCACATGTCATTTTCCCCTCAATATTTTGGATTTGGGAGCAGGGAGACTGTGTATTCCAAGAAAAACAAGACAAAACCCTCAAAAGCTCATGAGTCCTACCTCCAAACTGATCCCCAAAAGCCCTCGTGACATGATTCTGCTTCCTGCGACCCAGCCGCCCCGCACTCCTGCCACCTTGCCTTCCCCGCCAAGACGAACCCTCCACATGAGGCAAAACAAAGCCTTCTTCAAGTTGCTTCCGACTAGCAATGAGAACAGTGACTCGAACAGCCACCAGCAGCCGCAAACCAGAAGAACACCAACAATGCGTCTGACGTGTGACCACACCAAGCGTTGCTTGGATACTTGTCATCTGTTAAACACTCCCAACAACCTAGGGACTCAGCACCAGATCAAAAAGCTGGACGTAAATGTAATCTCCACATTCTTTGTTTGTTTATCAAGACAGGGTTTCTCTGGGTAGCCCTGGCTGTCCTGGAACTCACTCTGTAGATCAGGCTGACCTCGAACTCAGAGATCCGCCTGCCTTTGTCATCGGCATGCTGGGATTAAAGGCGTGCGCCACCACTGAAAATCACATTTTTATGAATATAATTTCATGGCTGTTTTTTTTTATCAAGTTTAATCTACACTTCTCTAGTTAATTTCGAAACCAGGCTATCTTCTTAGTTCTTTTATAGAGCCAACACACACACACACACACACAAACATATGCACACGCATGCACACACGTAGACACCCTTACACTTATGTGAATTATTTCTTCCTGTTCTTTGCTTATGTCTTCTGAAGGTTCCCTTCTTGTCATTTTGTTTGGTTTGGTTATTTGAGACAGGGTTTCTCTGTGTAATGGCCCTGGCTGTTCTGGAACTCGCTTTGTAGACCAGGATGGCCTCAAACTCACTGAGATACTCAGATTTGCCTGTCTCTGCCTCCTGAGTGCTGGAATTAAGGGCATGCGCCACCACCACCTGGCCTTGTCAAGTTTTAGAATCAATCCTCTACAATGAGCCTCTTTCTCATAATCTCTTACAGATTTTCATTATTTTTCTTTTGCTTATCTTTTGAGACAAGGTCTCTATATAGCTCTGGTTGTCCTGGAACTCATCTGTAAACCAGACTGGTCTTTAACTAACAGAGATCTGCCTGCTTCTGATTTCCAAGGGCTAGAATTAAAGGTGTAGGACATCATACCTGGCTTCTGGTAATTTTTAAAAACATACATTTGATAGTTTGTTGTTGTTAAGAAAAGGTCTCATGTAGCCCAGGCTGGCCTTGAATCCACTACTCAGTCAAGAATGACTGTGAATTGATCCTTCCTACCTCCACCTTCCTAGTGCTGGGACAACATATGTGTACCAACATCCATTGTTACATAGATCTGAGGAATGGCCTTGTGTACACCAGGGAGGTACATTAGGAACTGAACTACTCCCCAGCCCCACATTTGGTAATTTTCTACAATTAGAAAGTATTTCTAGGAGCTGGAGATGGCTCAGCAGTTAAGAGCACTAACCACTCACTCAGAGAACCTGGGTTCATTTCCTACTACACACAAAGTGGCTCACATCCCTTTGTAATTCCAAGTTCACAAGACCCAACACCCTCTTCTGGCCTCCTCGGTCACTGCACAATGTCCACAGATAGACGCACAGGAAAAACACCCATACACACAAAATAAATAAATCTTAAAAAAAATTCTTCCAATAGATAGCAACATTTTCCATTAAATACATTTACATAATTTCTAGCTGGGCAATGGTGGCGCACACCTTTAATTGTAGCACTTGGAAGGCAGAGGCAGGAGGATCTCTGTTAGTTCAGGGCCAGCCTGGTCTACAGAGCTAGTTTTAGAACAGCCAGGGTGGTTATACAGAGAGACTGTCTTAGAAAAAAATTACATAATTTCATCTCATTAGAAATTATCAGAAGACAGATTGTAGTTGAATATTTGACACAACTTCTAAGTTTGTGCTTTTTTAAAAAACCTAAAAATTAATACATATGATTGGGTTAGCACATATGCATGCTGCCGTGATGATAATGGACTAAACCTCTGAACCATAAGCCATCCCCCATTATATGTTTTCCTTTATAAGAAAACACCACACCATGGCCATGGTGTCTCTTCACAGCAATAGAACTTTGACTAAGACATTTATTTAGCAATCATTGAAAATTTTGGAAATGCCTAAACTACTTTCTTGATGACATCATAGAAGTGTATATGTATTCTGTAGAGAGAAACTTCAGTCTGGCTTCCCAGAGGAGGGAGAGGGAAGGACCAGGAAGGGCAGCGGAGTGAATGGGCTTAAAACATACTAAGGTGACTTTACAAAAATATATAAGCAACAAGACGAGGACAGGAAGGGCCGTGATCTCAAGCAGCTCAGACGCTGGAAACAGGACGCATTCACAAACAGCCCTCACTGGCTCTTCACGAGCTGGAAAGCTATAAAGTGATTTAGGGGAGCAAAAGTCTGAAGCCTGGGTGAACTGCTATAGTAAACCCCACTGAAGGGTCTCACAGCTGTTCCGCTTACACCTCTGGCGGGCCAATCAAAGGAGCAGATCATAAAGTATAGCTGTAGGGTACCGGAGATTGCTCAGCAGGTGAAGGTCCTTGGTGCATAATCCTGACCACCTGAGCTGGAGTCCCACCATCTATTTAAAAAAACCAGAGGGGGAAGCACACATCTGTAATCCCAGCATTCTCAAGGAGAGACGGAAGGGAGAGACACAAGCTAGTGGGCCAGCTGGCTTGGCAGCAAGCATCCTACTATGCAGAGAAGCAAATTCAGTCACTGTACCCACCTGTGGTGCCCCCAACAGGCCTAGGCCGGGCCACGGACGGCATCTCCTCAGAGTAGATCCCTCGGGTAGCAAATGGAGCGTCAGATGATGACTGTGGCTGCGAGGGCTCAGGGGGGACCAACTCTGAAGACGGCAGCAACCCTGGGCCGAAGCTCGGTCTGCTGGGAGAGCACACCCCACATCAACACCCCTTACCTGACTCTGGAATTTTAAGCTAACCCCTGGTTAAAACATGGGCCTGTCTGCAAGGCTCTGTAACTGGGATTAAGATGGCTTCATGTAATTCTCTCCTCCACTAGAATATAGGGCATTCTCTATTAGTTCAGGGCCCTACCTCAGTACTAAGTCTGCAAGACTTCCACGAGAAGAAAAGGGAGAGGAGGAAAGAGGAGGGGAAGGGAGGGAAGGGAAGGGTAGAGGAGAGGGGAGGAGTGTGACTGGAGCCTCGCTTTTCACTCTGGCTTCCCATGCTGCACCCCAGAGAAGATGCAACCCAGACATGAGTTGTTGGATGATTGCTTTTGGGATTTTGTTTTCAAAAGAAAAACTCCACAGGCAACCTCGCTTTTCCGTCAAGACTGAAAACCAGTTTAAGAAGAAGTGTTCTCAAACTTTTAAAGTTCTGAACCACTTTAAACTTAGGGGGACAAAAAACATTACTGAGGGTTCCTAAGAACTTTTATGTGGGCTCCATCCATAAATATTAACTTGATTGAGAGTTAAAACTAAGAACATTTAAGAACACTTACTTTAAAAGTCTATTACATGCTAGCACAACAATCCGCCCAACCACTCACCTCCCAATTAGTGGGGCGGTGCCTGAGATTTGACTCAAATGCCCTCACAGAGGACCTCTAGATTCTCATGCACGCTTTTCATTATCTAGAGAATACTCTATTCGTTTTTGTAATCAAACCCATGTAGGAAAGCACTTACATATTTAACAGTGTATCATCCCTGTATAAATGGGACGAAATTAAGTTTAACACGTCTAGACCAACAAGAATGTTGGTTTTTGTACAATGTAAAGTCAACACGTTAAGCTAGGGATACTTCCCGCCCCCCCAAAGGACAACACAGCTGAAGTTTCTAAAAATCCAAGTTATGTAGATGCACATGTACATTTGTATTTCTATAAAAGCCCAGTGATAGCAGCTTAACTGTAGATATTTTTTTTAAAGTGAAAATCAAAATTCCTCCAAACAGCAGTTTCCCATGTATGTGATATGTCATCTGACGTATGTTACTTTAGGAGGATCTGCCCTTACAGAGGATGTTCTTAGAGAAGGAGGGGGAACCCCAACCATCTACCAGGAAATACTCTGACTATCTTGATTCCACACCGAAACTCTGTGGAATCTGCCACAGGACTCTGGAGGAACTTCCCACACTCTGTTCCATTAAAATCCACTGCTCTGTCTTATGACAACCATCACTGGGAAAATGCAAATTATAAAGAATGGATAGGGACATTGCTAATTTCACAATAGTAAGAAAAAGTTCATCCAGAAAAGCCTGTAGGTGCTCAGACACTGTCAAATTCGCAAGTGTAGATAGGAGGTAACAATGCTTAATTTTCTCTTGAGTAGGAGGACAGATTCCTCTTCCTGGCATGTCTGTTACTAACTGATTTAAAAAATTTTGTTGCTGGGCGGTGGTGGTGCATGCCTTTAATCCCAGCACCCAGGAGGCAGAGGCAGGTGGGTCTCTGTGAGTTTGAGGCCAGGCTGGTCTACAAGAGCTAGTTCCAGGACAGGAACCAAAACCCTGTCTCAAAAAAACAAAAACAAAAACAAAATTGTTTAGGTTTATTTAATTTCATGTGCATGAGTATTTCACCTACATGTATGTATGTGTGGCATGTGCAAACCTTGGAGGCCAGAAAAGGGCACTTGGTCCCCAACACTGGAGTTACAGGTGGTTGTCAGTCACCACGTGGGCCCTGGGAACCAAACCCTGATCCTTTGCAAGAACAATAGGTGCTCTAAACTGTTGAGCCATCTCTCTAGCCCCCTCACTACCTTTTTAAATGTTTTTCACCACCTGATTTTAAAAATAACTTCTTGCTCACAAATATTGTCAACTGGGGTGAGCTGGGCAGGCTCAGAGCTCACTGCCAAAATCCCTCTCCTCTAGGTTTTATTTGGTGAAACTCTCAGCACAAACCAACATAGTCTCATCAAATTCTGATCTACTCAAATGTCATTTTCCCCCCTTTGTCCTCTTTGAAGGAGGATATTTTATGGCTTGGTTTTTAACATGCTAAGTCACCCTTATGTTGCTAACCCTCAGACTGGTTGTAATATGATATCTTTTTCATGTATTGCTTCATGTTTGTAAATATCTGGTTTCATATTCTTTCTACCTTTGTTCACGAGTAAAATTGTCCTTAATATTTCCATTTTCACAAGGTCCTTGTTCTTGTTAATCATCCTTTTCTGGATCTCAAGTCCCTTCCCCATCTCTCATACAGTAGCAGAACTTAAATCCGGCATCATGTGCGTGTGTACGTGTGTAGCTATGTGTGACCATGTGCTACGGCACACATGAGATCAGAGGGCAGCTTGCTGGAGTCAGTTCTCTTCCTCCTACCGTGTGGGTCCCCGTGACTGAAATCAGGTAGGCAAGCTTGGTGGCAAGCACCTTATCCACTGAGCCATCTTGCCTGCCCAAATTCTAACATTTGTGCAATAAGCATTTTGGCCACTGAACAACTCCCCAAATTCCAACAGTTTACTCTTCTGGTTAGATCAAGAAAATACACAACCTAGAGTTTGCTAACTGTTCAAATTAACTAAAAAATATGTTTGTAAAACTGAAAAAAAAAAAAAAATCAGCCTGCCTGAGAAAGCCAGGATAGGATTTCTCCTGGAAAGCTTACCTTGGTAATGGGCCTGATGGGGGAGTCATCCCATAGTCCTCATATCTCTGGGGGAAATGGAAAAGAACACAAAAATAAACATTAATACTCATAAAATGACAATATCGAGCTAAGAAACTTAGGTCAACTTTCAGGAATATTATTGTTACCTTGTCATTGAGGAGTGTTTCACTATGCTGCCTTAGCTAGCCCGGACCTTAGTACATAGAGCAGGCTAGTCCTAAACTCAAGAATCTGCCTATCTCTTCCTCCTGATTGCTGGGATTAAGGGAGTATACTGCCACACCTAGCAAGGACTGTTTTTGCTTTGTCTGTTGTTGATTTTTGCTTTGTTTTGAGATAGGGTCTCTACACAGCCCTGGTTGTCTTGGAACTCACTATGTAGACCAGGCTAGCCGCAAACTCACAGAAATCCACTTTTCTCTACCATCTGACCACTAGGATTAAAGGTACGCACTCAGCGCCAGGGAAGAACTGTTTTCTTATTATAGCTTAGCATGCAACCGGGGTCCTCCACCAAAAAGCAATAATACAAGTTTTTCAATTGATTGACTTATTTATAATTTTATTTTATACTTTATGTGTAAGGGTGTTTCGCCTGCATGAACATCTGTGCAGTACATCTATGCCATATCGGCAGGGCCAGAAGGCGGCACTGGGTCCCCTAGAACTGGAGTTACAGACAGCTGTGAGCCACCATGTCTAACTGACAGACTGTCTCCCCTCCCATAAGCTGACTGAGCACACTACTGACTGCTTCCTTGACTATGTTTAAGCCTTTTTCATTTCACGCCATCCCATTGACAAGTCTTGGAATTATTCTGGTGCTATTGGAGCCAATTTTTAGAACCAAAAATTTAAAACTGGGAGACTAAGGCTGCTACGACATTAAAGGCTTCTGATGGAAAAGGAATGCTTTCGTTTCTTCTGTAAAAACTGAGCAAATGGATGGCTGGTTCATCTAGTCAGGGTCTCATTGACTTAGTAAGAGGCTGCCTGGCTGCGGACACAGTGTTAAAGAGTACCTCCATGCCTGGCCTGGACAAGGGCCTAAATTTAATGCCCACCACTGCCAGATCCATACGCAATCTGGGCTAGGGACGTAGCCCAGTGGCAGATCACTGGTCTGGCACAATGCCAGATCGGAGCACAACTCCCAGCAGTAAGATAAAAGCAACGGTCAAACTGTTCATCTTTTTTCTTTTCATTGGACAACATTCCCACAGTTTATTGGGTTAAAATCTTTGTTAGCATAGAAAGTAGTGGATTTCAAGCTGGGCGGTGGTGGCGCAGGCCTTTAACCCCAGCATTAGGGAGGCAAAGGCAGGCGGATCTCTGAGTCTGAGGCCAGCCTGGTCTATGTAATGAGTTCCGGGACAGTCAAGAATACACAGAGAAACACTATCTCAAAAAACCATTAAGACGGAAGGAAGGAAGGAAGGAAGGGAGGGAGGGAGGGAGGGAGGGAGGGAGGGAGGGAGGGAGGGAGGGAGGGAGGGAAAAAGAGAGGGAGGAAGGAAGGAAGAAAGGAAGGAAGGAGTGGGATTTCACGGTGGCATTTCATGCCTATGTGTCATTACACTTTGTTCCTTTCTGTTGCTTCCAGCCCTTCCTCCCCTCAAACAGCCTCTGCTCCTGCTTCCATGTCACCTGCATTCCACTTTCCCCTTCTCTTGGGACCTCTTCCTGCCCCTCACGGTCCCGTTCTACGTCCATGCTCTACATATACATAAAAATATAAACCTAGATTCTACACACACGAGAAAGCTATTTATCTTTCTAAGGCTGGCTTATTTGCTTAACATAATGACCTCTGGCTCTATCCATGTTCCCACGGAGGTCATTACTGTTCTTTACAGCTGGATAAAGTCCCGTTTCCTATGCGCACATCTTCATCTGTCCACCAGCTGACAGGCACGCAGGCTGGTTCCGTTCAGTAGCCACGTGAACCGTGCAACACTTCAGGACTGAGGAGCCACCACGGTGGCCATGTCAGTTTGCATTCCCATCACAGATAAGGGTTCCTGTCTCCCCACATCCACCCCAGCGTTTGTGTCCCCCTGTCTGTCCAGCTGTTCTTCCTTCCCTTCAGACAGGGTCTTGCTATGTAGCTCTGGCTGCACCAGAAGTCACTATGGAGACCAAGGTAGTTTGAACTCACACTGACCTGCCCGCCTCTACCGAGATTAAAGGCATGCTCCACCACACCTAGCTGACTATCCAGATACGAATTCCTTGTCTCACGTGTTCAGAAGTAGTTTAATATTTATCACTGGAATGCTATGTTTAGTAGTAAGAACAGTAACGACTAGATAGGATGGTATTTCTCTCGCGTGACATCAGCTGCCCACACTGTGGAATTCTGCATCTCTTGTCATGAGGGAAATAATCTATGTTGAAAGAATCACACGAACCTCAGAGATAAAGATTCCATACATTCACATACATATGCACACACACACACATTTCTGGAGAGACAGATAGACACCCTCAGGATTACTTTACCATGGGTTTTAAAAAAATCGGAAAAAGCCAGTATAAATACTCACCAACCAGTGAATTTACATTGTCACCTATTAAACTCCGTCTGGAGTTAATAGGTCATAAAGCATTTAGTGCAATCATTTCATCTGAAACTAGCAGGAAGCAATATGAGTACTATTTCCGTGAGTGTGACTTGTATGTCCTCAGTGTGAGTGTGATTTCCATGAGCGTGGCTTGTATGCCATCAGTGTGAGTGTCATTTCCGTGAGTGTGCCGTTTCCGTGAGTGTGACTTGTATGCCCTCTCTTAAAGATAATCTGTGGTGGGGGGTGGCTCAGTCAGTAAATTACTTGCTGTCCAGGTTGGAGGACCCTGAGTTGGACCCCAACATCCACATCATAATACAGCATGCATTTATAACCCCAGTGCTGGGGAGGTGGAGCAGGAAGAGGATCCCTTTGGCTTACTGGCCAACCAGCCTGGAAGAACTGATAAGTTTGAGAGAAAGAGCCACCCACCTCACCAAAATGGGCAGCTCCTAAGGAACAGCACCTGAGCCTGACCTCCGGTCTCCACATGTCTGTGCACCCACATGTACCCACTCATGAACCAGCACCAACCCCATCCCCCACCATACATACAACCACATGTGAACCAGCACCACCCCACCCCCATCCACACATACACCCACATGTGAACAGCACCACCCCCACCACACATACAACCACATATGAACCAGCACCAACCCCACCCCACCCATGCATACACCCACATGTGAACAGCATCAACCCCACCCCCACACATGCATACACCCACATGTGAACAGCATCAACCCAATCCCCACCCACGCATACATCCACATGTGAACAGCATCAACCCCACCCCCACCCACGCATACACACTCACACCTGCATACAGAGAAAAATTGGACAAAACAGACAAGATATAATAAGTATAAATTATGACAACAAAGACATATGAAAGCCCAAAATGTCAGCTTCCAAGATGGGAAGCTGACATTGCAAATGGTTGTTCTTGTCTGTGCTTGAACTAGCACCTCTGCCCTCCCAGCCTTGGGGACATCTCCAGGACCAGGTGGTCCAATAACAAGTTAAACAATTCGAGTAGTTTCTATGCTGATCCCTTTACAGAATCAACGAGAACACATCCTGACAATGCATCTCCCCTTCGTGACCCCATAATGTAGCTGGGAAGATGCTCTCTACATCACCATCTGCATCCCTCCTGCACGAAAGGATGCTTCCAACACTAAGAATTAATTGTAGTAGATCAAACTAAGAAGACTGCCTTCAAGTGCCACAGTTAGGTAACAAAACTCAAGCACCATGCCCTGAAGAGAATTCCAGGGGGCCAGTACTTACACTGCAGGGGTTGTTGGCCGTCTGGGCTGGACTGTAGAAAGACCCCCACTGCGTGGCTCGCCTCTCTTCCCTGGAAGGGGTGCTGTTCACAGGCAGGCTGGCTGGCACCCCGGGACTGGCTCCCACGGGATTGGTAGGCTGGCTGCTGGGAGCCACAAGGGCGAAGGCATCATCCAGGAGGGAGTGCATTGTCTGGCGGGCCTCCTCGATGGACGGCTGGGGTGGGATGTACTGCGAGGCCGAGAAGGGCAGGCCTGGATACCTGCTCAGCTCAGCAGAGGACGGCGTGTGCACGTCAGCCGGGAGGTCAGGATCAGACTGCACGGGAGGCAAGGAGGAGAGTGACACGCGTGCTTCCCTGGGGTGGGGCAGAGCGTGAAACAAAATCCTGGCACAAAGGGGAATTTAACAGTGGTCCCACCGCGTGGGACAGGGTTCATCCACATAATATGTATCACATTCTGTGGGAGACAAAGACTTTAGGTGGAGGAAAACCAAGTGGGACTACTCAACTATTCAACTTCTTTTCTGTCAAACTCAGCTGTGTGCGATGGACTGCAGAACCCGGAGGGAAACATCTTCCCTGAGAGCCTAGGAAGCCATGCTTCACACTTCAAAGTGCGCACACTACACAAATCCAGTCAACTTTCCGTGGGTGTGAAAACCAACAGGAGGAGCCAACTATCAACAGTCAGAAAACACCCTATCTGTGTGTAAGTAATTCAAATAACAGTTTAAAAACGGCTCACCAAGGTAAACAGTGACGAATATTTGGGAATTGTGTCTCCAAAGTGGAGGTATCGGAAGTAAGCTATCTAAAGTTTAACGTCCTGTACCCACAGTTTAAGAAGCAAGAATCAGAGAAACTGCATGGCTTTTTTTTTTTTTTTTTTGACTTTCTTTCTTTTCATTTTATTTATTGAGACAGGGTCTTCCTACATAGCCCTGACTGGCTTGAAACTTCCTATGCAGCCCAGGCTGGCCATGAACTTAGAGATCCACCTGCTTTGCCTCTGCAGTGCTTGAATTAAAGGTGTGTGCTGCCAAGTCCAGCTCAAGATTTATTTTATTTTACTGTGTGTGCGTGTGTGTGTGTGCGCGTGTGCGTGCACATGCATACACACCAAGCACTCAGATCCCAGTGGAAGGTGTGGAAGGCGCTCACCTACACTCCGGAGCCCCAGCCCTCTAGGCCCCTCCCATCTCATCCTCAGTGGTCATACTTTTAAAAGGAGAGAGAGAGAGAGAGAGAGAGAGAGAGAGAGAGAGAGAGAGAGAGAGAGAGAGAGAGAGAGAGAGAGAGATATTAACTTTTGGAGCAGGACAGACAGGTTCTGACGCTGGGGAGGGTGGTTCCTTTGGGATCCCCGGCACAGGAATCCTACTGGAAACCCTAAAGGAGATGCACAGAGTTAGACCTTCCCACTCCTCTGACTCCCCACTGCCCCTTCACGTCTCAGCCTCTACCGTCAGAATCTGGAAGTCAAGAGTTCTCTTGCCCTCATCCCATCTTCTAGCACAGCGCTCCACACGGAGACAGAACTCAACAATGAAAACCTGAAGGCCATAACGTTAAGATTTCCTAAGGCGCTTGCTTGGCTGGGAATTTAAATTCTATTCCCTTGAACTCTAGTCTGCTGAGCCTGGTATGATTCAGGGCTGGTTGGTTCAGACATGAACAAACACCAACGTACCCCAGAGAGGGCACCAAAGCCCCAGTTCTACTCCAGTGTAGCCAATGAGTTGCACTGGGGTGACTTGATGAGAAGCGAGGCTTAGAGGGGCACGGGCAACTGACACAGCTGTGCCATCGAGAAAATCTGCCTCCTGGCAATTATTAACCCTTATCCATGCTCCAGAGGGGAGGAGCTTTGGGTTTTCTGGGCCTCCTCATGCGCTCCCCCTGACTGCTTCAGGATAAACACAATGGCTCTGACTGCAAAAGGACAATGGCCATGTCATGCCCAGAGGACCGCGTTTTACAGCAGGTGCCTGCCCCTGTCGTTCTTCGGACGCAAACATGGAGCGCTCTTCTAGCATGGTTCAGGCCCCATGCTGGCTATTTTGCAATCCTTAGTGGGCTCTGAACAAAGCAACCTCACATCCTGGTTTAGGTTTGTGCCTGCTGCCCTGGTTTAATCATTAATAGCACCGCCTTTCTCTTCCAAGAGCATCTGGTTTGGGGGTCAACAAACTTGTAGTGTTTTGTTGCTGTTGTTGTTTTAATGAGATAGGATCTCTCTGCCTCCAAACTCTTGGGCTCCAGAAGCCGCCCAGCCGCAGCTGGGCCTACGGATGGGCACCAGCAGGCCTGGTGCCAACAAAAACTTTTAGTCAAGAGCCAGACAAATATTTTAGGTTCTGCAAGTCATAAAAGTCTGTTACAACGCAACTCAAAAAGCAGCCAAAGACAGCAGGAAAGCAAGGGCGTGGCTATCCTTTATAAAAAAGGCCAGTGTTGACCTAAACAGCAGTGGCTGGATGTGGTCCAAGGACAGAAGTCTTCCAGGCCCAAGCCCAAACTAGAGTAGAGACATGCTAGAAGGGGTTGAGGGTTCTGGAGGGGCAGCCCTCAAGGAGAACTTAGTTTGAGAGGAAGTGGAAAATTCCAGATAATTTAAAACTGTGTAACACACATACATACGCTCTTGAAGGTAAAAATCTAGCTGGGGAAAATGAATTCTGAGAAAGGCATTATTTTTGAAACAGACATCACAGAATTTCAGGCCGCATCAAAAGTTAAGCAGACATGGAAAGGATTTTCTGAGCAGGGGATCTTTGGAAAGGATCTCCTAAAGTCCAAGGAGGTTCCAGGAAGGCTCTTGCCACCATCTCTTGGAGGAACCCTGCACTTCCTGTGAAAGACGAAAATGGAGAAAAGAAAGGAAGGTCCAAGCCGGGAGCATGGCCTCCGCCTGCAGTCCCGGCACTCGGAAGCTTGCGGGAACTAGGATTGTTGTTCCCCCAAATTAAGTTAAACCCAAAAGGAGGGTCCAGGACACCCCAAGGGGAGCCTGACAGTTGGTCATCAATGAAGACGAAAGAGGGAAAGAGCGCTCCCTACACAGAACTCAACAGGAGGATGGAACTCAACAAGGATCTCAGACAGGCTCCCTTGGGAGGGCGAGCCTGCGCTGGCCAGGAAAGGTTGTGGGGAAGGGAAGGGAGGGGAGGGGAGGGGAAGGGAAGGGAAGGGAATGTTGTTTCTTCTTCTATGACTAGTTCCACAAAAGCACCTGGTGACTACATAGAAGGCCTATGAGGGCAGTTTCTCTAAACTTCCCAAAATCTCCAGCAGGACAGGAATGCCCATCTGTTGCAAGAAAAGCAGGGTGTGTGTGTGTGTGTGTGTGTGTGTGTGTGTGTGTGTAGGGGAGTCCTCCCCTATCAGGGTGAGAAACTACTCAACTCCTCCCTTCGACGGTGGCACCTATAATTAGCAGCTCTAGCTCACAAGAACCCTCCAGAGCAGGTTCATGTCACTGAGGGAAAAAGTGGAAGCCTCCAAAAAACTTGAGCGCCCTGGAGCACTGTAACTGTCACAATGCCGTCTCTGAGGACATGCTGCTGCTAAGGTCACACAAACAAAGCTTGCTCTCTCTGTGTGCTCGGCACAGTAGGGCTGAGTCTTTATGCTCCCCTGCTGCCAGTGAACTGTGTCCTTTGGACTCTCCCTCTCTTTCGCAGGGCATCTTTGTGTCTCTTGCCAATGGTCCCTTGAGAAGCGAGGTTTCTTCTTCAATGGAGCCTGTGTGTGTATGTCGTCATGTATCAATGTCTGCCTTTATCACTTCAAGCCACACTGTCTGTGTCCATTTTCATTGGAAAAAAAAAAGGGGGTTTTCATTCTTTGATTTCCATTGAGCTCTTTATGGCCACAAAAATTATACGTATGCATGTATGTGTGTACGTATGTATGAAGGTTGAACATCCCTAATCCGAAATCAGAAACTTTTTGAGTTCTGACATGATGCTCAGTTAGGGACTTTGAACACTTCAAGTTGCAGACTTTCCTATCGGGATGCTCAACTGGTAAAGTTTGCATGTACATTCCAACATATCCAGTATCTGAAGCAGTGTGGTCCTGACATTTTGGATAAAGACTCAGCTGAGTAATTCATTCTATGTGAGTGTGGAGGTGTGCAGACAAAACAGGAAATATCAAAAAATAAAACAACAAACAAACAACAACCCAACTAACCAACCAAAAAAAACAAATGAAAACCCCGAGCAGAAAGAGGCAACCTGGACATTCTTGTTCTTCCAATAAACCCTAAGCAGCTCCCCTTCTGAAAGCAGACGGGTTATCACAGAGGAAAGCCTGGGACACACTCTCAGAGGTGTCACCCAGCGGCTCCCAGGCTGATATGATTTGGGTTTTGCTAGCTGGTGCCCAAGTCCATCTACCCTGTGTGCTACGACCTGCTGGCCCTGGTATCCACTGTGCACAGGGCAGCAGCCAGTACGATGCACCCTCCCCTCCTATCAAGGCACCCTCCTCGTAACTCCCCCACCCTGGTTCCCAAGGGTTCAGGGTTACGCACTGGGCATCCAATATAGGCAGAGTTGTGCACACCCGGAGGCCGCTTGTATGTGCCATCACTGTCTGTGGTGATGAGCCTGTCCTTCTCGGCATCAGCAGGACAGCCATTGACCTGGTGTTTCCGGCGTGGCTTAGGAGAACGTTTTATCCGTGAGCTATTAGGGGAAAAAAAAAAAACAGAAATTATCTTCACAGGAAATAAACCTGTCAGCTACTGGCTTATCAACTTAACAGCAATGTTTTCGGAATGATGGGCTGGCCACTTAGGAAAGGTGCCAGGGATTCTGACAAGGTGACAGCCACAGTCTGGTCATAGCCACACCTGGCCCTACGGATGAGACTGAACTACCAGACAGACAACAGAGCAGTCTGTACTCAAGACATCGTCGGCCACAAAGTGGCTATTAATACCCCACAAGTGACCTGAGGGGGTGACCAGATCTGAAGCTGAGGAGGGACGTGGGAACAGCCTAAGCAGTGCCAGCCCAGCAGGCTGAGGGCCAGAAATGGCTGCAGGTGAATCTGGGGGCAAGATGACAGGGCTATCCACTGCAGTCATAGCTCTGTGTGGCTGGCCGCAGACAGAACCAAAATAGAGGACGGTCTCACCCACCCCAGGGGTACAGTTTCGGGCACAGAAAGACAAGCTTAATGTTGTATTTATTTCTTGGAGTGTAGGTGTGTTGCCAGGAAAGAGCACCGGATCTTCCGGGACTGGAGTTACGAATGGTTGCAAGGTACACATACGTATGCATGTATGTGTGTACGTATGTATGAAGGTTGAACATCCCTAATCTGAAATCTGAATCCAACTGGAAGAGCAGCTGCAGCTCTGGACCACTGAGCGATTTCAGCGCCAGGACCCACACCGACAAGATGGGGCAGGGGCTGATTGATGGGAAGGTGGGGCCAAAGACTGCAGGAAGCTGTGAGAAAACAAACATGGAGGCTGGCTCGCCACACTACCTTGTGACCATCCCAGTGATGGGGACAAGAAGTAAAGAGTAAGAAGGGGGATGGACGAGCCGATGGGGCAGGGGACAAGCTGGCTGTACAAAGAAAGACAGGTGCACAGTTTGATCAGACCAAGGAAGCAATTGGGGCTAGCACTGGGATGTGGAGATTAGGAACCCCTTCCTCCCCAGGAGCTGGCTCCTCCTCTTCCTGCAGGCTTACATGACCTCTACAGAAACCTCTTCAATTCACAGTTACAGACTGTCACCTGGATATGACCAGGATTTCTGTCATTGGCCCATCTCCATCCCGCCCGTGTCTAGTCTGCCTGACCACCACGTCCCTGGGGCCCCAGCTCACCTCTTCCTGGGCTCTATGAACACAGAGGGCACACTGGCTGCGGGATCCAGGATCTTGTCGATCTGCATTTGTGCCCTGCGGTACACTCGATGTCGCTCCTTGGTGTCGCCAGAAGACAGGTCATCCACCACCGGGAACTCGTAGTGGCCTCGGCGTTTGGCGCGCAGTCGGATCTTGTTGCGGTGGTGCTCAATCTCCGACTTGTGGCGCAGAGCAGACTGGATCTAAGTGCAGGCGGTGGGCAGCAAGAACAATCGTTCAGGGTGTTGGCTCAGGTTCAGGGACACTTCTTCCAGAGAATGGGAACTGCCCACACCAAGTGGCTGAAAGCCCGTCACTCACTGACAATCGCTAGCTTAGGGGAGGCTAACCACCTGCAGACTAACCCCAGTGTTCACAAGCCTGGGTGGCTGAGGCAGAGAGCAAGACTTTTCCAGAGAGCCTTCTCAGGGCTGTTTTAACACTTCTGCTAATCTTGTCAGGATCCATCACTGTCCGTGACCAGTGTTGAAGGTTGAAAAGAATCAAGCGTGCAGGAGGGCCCCAGAGGCTACTAGTACAGGAGCGGCGGGCAGCTGATGTCTAAGCAGAGAAGCAACACTTTTTCTTTTGAGGATGTGGCTACTGCTAGGTTGCCCATGCCCAGTGGATGAGGCTTATTATTAATAATGATGATGACACCATGAAGCTGGGAGGGAGACAGGTGAGGGGGTCTGAGGAGAACTGGAGGGGGGAGTGCATTGTATGCATGTACCAGATTTTCAAAGAATAAATAAAATGTTAAAAATTAAATACAGGGTGTTTGTGTGCATGTGTATGATTTCTTGCTTGCTTTGTTTTTTTTTTTGATTCTGAGACAGGACATTACAGTGTAGCCCGAGCGATGTGGTCCCGGAGTGACTCTTCTGTCTCGGCCTCCAGGGTGCTGGGATTACAGGCCTAAGTCACCATGCCCAGCCTGTAGTGTTTTGAATTAGGGAGCAGCTGTTTGACACTGGGCCTTTCACTCATTGCTCTAGCCTGGCCAAATCAGGACGCGGGCTTTTTTATTAATTCGCTTTTGTTAACATTGAATACCTCCTTGTTGATTTTGTTGGTTTCTGCTACTCGGTCGGCCAGCACAGGATGCTGCACTGGGGGTGCTGGGATGGGCTGCATGGCTATGAGCTGGATCTTACTGGGGACCCGCCGGCTGGCCTCTGAGGATCGGGAAATCCTGTCAACATGCTCGAAGATGGAGGCCGAGGAATGCTGCTCGTTGCCTGAATTGGGCAGGGGAGCACCTGGAACAGAATGGAGGCACATGAGCAGGAAAGCACCGGAAAGTAGCCAGAAGGAGTCAAAACTATGCATCATCCCCCAAAGCATCCTCGGTCCCAGTCTCTGACCAAAGCAACCAAAATCTCTGGTTCAGTCTACGTAGTCTATATTAAATTATCTCTTTTGGCTTCATTAAAAATGGCAAATGAAACCGGGCGGTGGTGGCACACACCTTTAATCCCAGCACTTGGGAGGCAGAGGAGGGAACTCTGTGAGTTAGAGGCCAGCCTAGTCTACAGAGTGAGCTCCAAGACAACAAAACAAACAAACAAACAAATCTTCATAAAGAAAAAGGAAGGGTCATTCGACAAGAGAACTTCATAGTGTGTTTCAGGGCCTGGGTTCAACGTCTGGAACCACAGAACAAAACATAAAACATTTGAGCTGGGCGTGCTGGTGTATGCAGAGTTCCAAGATCATCCCCAGCTGCACAGTAAGTTCCAGGCTAGCCTGGCAAACACGAGAGCCTGTTAGAAAAGGGAAAAGGAAGAAAAGGACAGGAGACTGAAGCTGTTCAGTGAGACAATGAGCAATTTGTACAATTTCCACTAAAAGTATTTATAGCAGCTTTGGGCCTCCACTATCCTCTGGGCACTCACCGGCACAGCAGCAATTAGCCATTAGCTACGAGAGCTATACTATGAAGTCTTCCCTTGGCATGGGTGGAGACTGGTTCAAGGACCCTGCAGGCCCAGAGCCGATCAACTGGACTCGCATCTCCTAAAGAACAGTGCAGTACCTGCCTGCATATACAACCCAAGCACACTGTCCTATAACCTTTACATCCCCTCTAAATGACATATTGTTAAGACAATGTAAACACCATGTTAATGGTTACTTCAGTAAGAATGACAAGAAAGGTCACACAAGCATGTAACATACATGTAAACTTAAAAACATATATCTGATCTACAGTTGTTGGTTAATAAGGACACCGTGGATATGGATGGGCTGACTGGGCTTTAAGAGGAGGGGAAGGGACAAAAGACAAGGGTCTAGAGCCACACAGGAGGGCACCAAATTAGCTGTGAATGTGGCAGGGTCTTCACTCCCAGTGAAGAAGGAAAAGCTGAAGACGCAAGAGAAGAAAAGCCCCCTTCCCCTTAAAAGAAATCAGTTCCATTCTAAATGGGGCACTGAAGAATAAAAAGGCTCAGGTTCGTGTTATCTACATTTTACTGCAATATTTTTAAAGAAGTAATCAGACCTATGGAAATGAAGAAATTCATACACTCACCAAAAGAATGGACAAACTATGCACTGTGGTGCACACCTTTAATCCCAGCACTCAGGAGACAGCAGCAGCGAATGTCTGTGAGTTCAATACTAGCCTGGTATAAACAGTGTGTTCTGGCTAGCTAGGGCTACACATTGAGACCCTGTTTCAAACACACACACACACACACACAATCTTATATCATGACTGTCTTTTTCCAGCTTCTCATTTTCAGTAATGAAAAATTTCTCTAATGAAATATATGTACTAAATATAACTCCAGTAAAATTTAAGATTAAAAAGAAAAAAAGGGAGCTGGAAGGCTGACTCAGCTGGTAAGAGCACTGGCTGCTCCTGCAGAGGGCTCCAGTTCAGTTCCCAGCACCCACATGGTGGACCATGATTGGCTATAACTCCAGATTGAGGTGACCTGCTGCAGTCTTTGGCCTCCTCAGGCACCAGGCACCGATGTGATATACTAGCATATATGCAAGCAAAACACCAAAATGTGTAAGATAAGAAAGAAAGCTGGGCAGTGGTGGCGCACGCCTTCAATCCTAGCACTTGGGAGGCAGAGGCAGGTGGATCTCTGTGAATTCGAGGTCGGTTTGGTCTACAGAGTGAGTTCCAAGATAGCCAGAGAAACCCTGTCTTGAAAAAAAAAAAAAAAAACAACAAAAATGGTGGAAGGAAGGAAGGAAAGATGGAAGAAAGGGAGGAAAGGAAAGAGAAAGGGAGGGAGGGAAGGAGGGAGGGAGAGAGGGAGGAAGGGAAGGAGGGAGGGAGGGAGGGAGGGAGGGAGGGAGGAAGGGAGGAAGGGAGGGAGAGAGGGAGGGAGGGAAGGAGGGAGGGAGGGAAGGAGAGAGGGAGGAAGGGAGGAAGGAAGGAAGGAAGGAAGGAAGGAAGGAAGGAAGGAAGGAAGGAAGGAAGGAAGGAAGGAAGGAAGACCTCAAAAGAGGAAGCAGGGGGAGAAGACAAGAGCTAGCTGAAGAATGGCCGGAGCTTTCCTTTAGCCAGTCAGTCAACGCCTAGACACTGTTCTAAAGTAAACAGTCAACAGAAGGAGTGAGAACAGGTAGAAACTGGTTTTGAACAAAAGCCAATGGTTTGAAACCTCTAGTGAAACGGGAAGCCTGGAGTGGGGAGTCTTCTGAATCTAAAAGAGCACAAGTTGGCAAAGCAGGCAGCAGGCCACGGTGGTAATGGTGCAGTGGGTGTTTTACCTAAGGAATGAACAACATTCCTCTCTTTTTTTTTAAATATTTATTTATTATGTATATAATATTCAATCTGTGTGCGTTTGCAGACCAGAAGAGGACAGCAGACCTCATTACAGATGGCTGTGAGCCACCATGTGGTTGCCGGGAATTGAACTCATGACCTTTGGAAGAGCAGGCAATGCTCTTAACCACTGAGCCATCTCTCCAGCTCTCTTGATCTGAACTGTGTGTCTGTTTTCCCAAGGGACCAGACGATGTGTACACCTCCAAAAGAGTGGCGTCTCTCAACGGCAGACGCTTTCTCACAGTCTTGGGCTTTCTTTCCATAACACCCTGAACTGCAAGGCCAGCGATGCAAGCTGCAGGATTCATGACTAAAAGGAGATTTACCATGCTAGCAGGCCAGCCTTGCTGATCTGAACCTCGAAAGAAAAGACACAAGTCCCAAAGTCGACACATCAGCCCACTCTCCCAGCACTCCTTCTGCCTTTGGAGCTAAGGTTGGCGTGGGGAGCTCCCCTGTGCCATCCTCTCTGCCTGGTTCAGCCTGCACCACAGCCTCAGTCTGGGCTGCTGACCTTCCTCTCAGCCGAGGTCACCGAGGTTCGATAAGTCAGTCATTCATCAGCTACAACCTTCAAGGCAATGAATGCTCAGACCTCAGGCTTCTCTGCCAAACTGCTAGGTAAAGGCAGGAAAGAAAAAGAAATCCCCAGCTCTTGTTTTGTTCAGACCCAGCCCTTCAAAATGCCTGGAAAGAGTTTTTAAACTTGGTGCTAAATTATAATGTGTATTATGTTATATATCAGTGCAATTTATTAAAAAATTACATAGATAATAACAACCCATGGGAAGCATAATAGATGCTTAGAATCCTGCCTTAAGGCAAGTAGGGACTTTGGATTAAAATGCCTTTCTCTTTCACTGCTCTTTTAAAAAGGTAGTAATATAAATTATACCGCACATTCAAGAAATCATCTATCTAATGACTGCAATAAATAATATATTATCTATTTTAAAATAGCCAAGAAGTCAGCCAAGGCAAGAGGGCTCAGCAGGTAAAGATGCCTGCTGCCAAGCCCGATGCGAGCTTGAAGCCCAGACCCCAGGTGGTGTGAGGAGCGAGCTGACTCCTGCAATCTGTCCTCCAGGTGTGCTGTGGCAGGTCCACGTGTGCACACCACATCTGCAATCTGTCCTCCAGGTGTGCTGTGGCAGGTCCACGTGTGCACACCACATGTGCAATCTGTCCTCCATGTGTGCTGTGGCAGGTACACGTGTGCACACCACATGTGCATCACAGCACACAGATGATAAACAAATGTAACTTTAAACACTGAGCAAAACTTTAAGTGCTCTCACATAAAAACATGGTAACTGTGATCAGTATCTCATCCAGTAAATAACTTGATTTACCATTCTATAACGTATATATGCTTTCTGTTTGTCTGGCTTTGGTTTTTCAAGACAGGGACTCACTCTGTAGACCAGGCTGGCTTTGAACTCACACAGATCCTCCTATCTCTGCCCCCTGAATGCTGGGATTAAAGGCGTGCACCACCACAGACCGTGCACCGTGCACACACACACACACACACATGTGTGTGTGTGTGTATGTATGTATGTATGTATGTATAAAACATAAGGCTGGGAGAGCAGCTGTTCTTGCAGAGGAGCCAGGTTCAAGTTCCAGGCACCCACATGGTGGCTCACAAACCTCTGTAAATCCAGTTCCATGGGCTCTGAGGACCTCTTCTGACCTCCTTGGGCATCAGGAACACACTTGGTACACATATACACGCAGGTAAAATACTCAGACACAAAATTAAAGGTGTTTTTAAAAAATCATATCATATTAAATAAAATCATATCATATTAAACAAAAATCATATCAAAATAATTAAATAATTAGAAATGAAAGGGGAAAATTATTGTCTGCTGTTTAAGACCCCAAGGAAGAGTCCATACAGAGTGTCAGCCACAAACAATGACAGAGGAAAGAGCGCTCCCGAAATGCTTCGATGGAAGATGAAGATGGTTTCAAGAAAGCATTTCATCACTTAGAGATAAACATAGTTAACCCACACCATCCCTAAATCTGGTGGCCCTCCAGCCACACCCCACGAGGCAGAGATCACTGAGCCATTGTCCCCATCGTATCTCCAGCATCAAGCACATTCCAGGCACTCAGGAGAGAGCAACACCGAATGACGAACAGCTGACGGTAGTCACCCTGACTCAGTTCACAGTCCTCGATGAGGCCTCTGGGAACTGCCTTAGTGAGAAATCTCAAACGAGGCTTAACCAACGATCTCATCTCAGAAATGAGCCCTCAGTGCTACATGTATGTACATGTATGTAGCTAATCAGGTTGAAACAATGGTGCCAAAATAAATGTCTATCCATCCCCACGAGAAATCCTAGCACCTGGAGCTCGTGGCGTTCAAGCTGATGAGGTTCTAACTACTTCAGAACCACACACTGGCACACGGAAGAACATCAGGAAGCCTTGGGGGAGAGTGCTGGGGAGGATCATTTTCAGGTGTGTGACTTTTGTTTCTGCTGCATTTGGTTAACTGTGGAGCTGTGATTCTTGGCCTGTCTAAAACACCCGATGAATCCTAATAAAGAGATGAATGACCAATAGCAAGGCAGAAGCAAGGAAAGGCGGGGCTGGGAGGCAGAGAGTAGAAAAGGAGAAACGAGGGGAAGAACGAGGAACAAGGAGAGAACAAGGAGAGAAGGATGTCAGGGGCCAATTACCCAGACACCCGGCTAGCCACGGAGTAAGAAGGAAAGTAAGATATAAAGAAGAAAGAAAGATAAAAGCCCAGAGGCAAAAGGTAGACAGGATAATTTAAGAAAAGCAGGCAAGAAACAAGCCAACCTAAGGCCAGGCATCTCATAACTAAGTCTCCACGTGTGATTTATTTGGGAGTTGGGTAGTGGGCCCCCCAAAAAAGCCAAAAGACAAATATCAAAAAACAGGACAGTGTGGTGGCAAACACCTTTGATACCAGCACCCAGGAGGCAGATGCAAGTGGATCTCTGGGAGTTCAAGACCAACCTGGTCTACATACTGAGATCCAGGCTAGCCAGAGCTACACAGTCAGAGTTTTGCATCCAGAGCTACGTAGTGAGACCCTGTCTTAGCCACCTTGCCCCCCCTCAAAAAGCACTTGGCAGTCCATTCTAGTAGGTGTGTTCCTGAGGGAAAGGCGGGGATAGAGGCTTTGGGAGGACAGCACTGACTGACGCGGAGACCGCTTTTGCTCAAGGGCACGCACCCTCCGCTTTTGCCTCTCCATGGTCTCTTCAGGGATGAAAGCGGAAACAGATGAGGCTCCCCTAACTACAACGGCTGAGAACACGGTATCCTGTGAGTCAGTTACTTCTGGAGGTCTCAGAGATGAACGCAAGGGATGCATGACAGTCTCGTTGGCACCTTCCAAACGGGAGGGCAGGGAATGGAGTCAAAATGACCAAAACACAAACAGTCTTTCAGGAGTTTCCATTGCAAGAGCAGGGCTGAAAATAGCATCCTAGAGAACCTAAAGCTGGCTCCTGAGTGTGCCACACGCAGTGGTGACAGGGAGCACTCATCCAAGGGCAATCCTGGCGGTTCTCAACAACCTCCTCCCCCACTCACAGGACATGCCACAGAAAGTGGATTTTTATTCAATTTTTTTTTTTTTTTTATTTTCGAGACAGGGTTTCTCCGTAGCTTTTTGATTGAGGTGCAGCGTACATTTGCTTTCCCATAACTCAAAAAGAGAATCACTAGTTTGAGGTCCAACCTGGGCTACATGGAAGCCACTGTCTCCAGAGGGGAGGACACTAGAAGTTTAGCTCAGTGGAAAGCACTTGCCCAGCATGTGCACACACACACACACACACACACACACACACACACATTCAAATATATGGTGTTAATAAAGCCTCCTGTTAGCCCCAAAGCTGTCTGATGGCCCCTTTTAAGAAGATGGGAGCTTTAAGTGAGCTGATATTATCTTAGGCTGCTTCCAATTACGGTAGCAGCACCCGAACTCCCGGCACTCCCAGGCAGCTCCACTCACTGCCCTGCCTCACAGGTGAAGACAAACCCACAGTGGTGCTTGGGTCTGCTCCCTTCTCAGCACACTGGGCATGTTAGTGTCAGAAGGGGTAGGGCGGGCACTAACAAACAGCTAAAGCTAACTGGAGAAGGGTGAGGACTTTCCTCTTCCTTTTTCAACTATTTCTTTCCCAGGATTGAAACGAGATTTTAATCCTGCCATATCTGAAACACGGCACCCGTTGCCATGGTACTAAATAAGCTTTAAGATGTTGTGAAACTAGATCCCAAGGAAAAAACTCTTCCCTTACTCTAGAAGGGTATTTCCTCAAAATTACCTAAGACCCAGCAGGGAGGGATGGCAAGGATGAGTGGCAGGAGCTTGGGGCGGGATCTGCAAGGCCTTGGGAGTGGGGCCCAGGGGCATGAAAGGTCTTTAAGCTTTGGTCCAGTCTCTTCGTTTACAGAATGTGGTTCTGTCTATGCTGTATTTTCAGTGGAGAAATAATGTAATCTCACAAAGGGGGCTATAGGGATGGCTCTGAGGTTCAGAGCGCTTGCTGATCTTGCAGAAACCTGAGTTTAGTTACAAGCACCCATATTATGGGTCATGACCATCCAAATTCTTGTTCCCAGAGACCCAAATTCTCTTTAGGCCACCATGGGCACTGCATGCACGTGGTGTTCAAACATACATGCAGGCACTCAAACACTCATAAAAACAAAGTAAACGTAAACACTAAACCAGAAACATTCTAAAGCAAGTACAGCTGGGTAGGATGGCTTGTGCCTTTCACTCCACGGTACCTGGCACAGGCAAGTGGGACACTGTGATACCAACCTATGAGTTGGCCAGGCTACATAGTGAGTGCCAGGCTAGCCAGAGCTATGGAGACCCAAAAGTGTCCAAAACAGTAAGTACAAAATCCATTATTAAACCCCTTATCTCTGAACTGCTGAGATATGATCATGAGATAAAAATAAAGCTCCAGCCAATTCGCCAAGAGTAACCCATTTAACACAATCTGTTAAGTTGAAACCAAGCCACTGGGGCCCAGGCCAGGATGGCTCAGTAAGTAACAGAGTTCCCCACCAGGACAGACAACCTGAGTCCAATTCCCAGAATCCATATTTCTACCATATGGAAAGAAAGGACTCCCATAAACTGCCTCTGATTTTTCCCATGTATGCCACGTCATAATAAACACACACAATACACAAACAAACGTGAAGCCACACTGCTAACCAGGTATGGTGGAGCAAGTCTGTCATCGCACCAGTCAGGGTGGAATCAGAAGAACCAGATTTTCAGGTAGAGCTGGGCTACATGAGACTCTGCCTCCAAAAACCCCAAATTCAATAAAATGAAACCACAACACTTTGCCATCACGCCAAAAACCCCTTACCAAGTCAAGGCAGGCCTATGGCATAGTTTTGGTTTGTTTGTTTCTGCTTGTTTTGGTTTTTGGTTATTAGACCCACAGCTATGAACTTGACAGTGGGTGTGACCTTTGTGCCTGGCCTGTAAAGAAGAGGCTGAGCCATCTGATCACACCCAACTACCTGCTGGGAGAATGATCTAGAAAATGGGACCACACATGAAGGGTACGAACCTGCTACAGATAAACATCACCCCACGGTGTGACATCAAACTGGTTCTGAAAAAAGATACTGTCCTAAAGGCAGTTTTAGGACTACAGCATCTATGAAGTTCTCCTTCTCCTTCAGATGGGAAATATGTCCTGACACTAAGTTAGAAGGACCTGCTAGTTTTAAGTCACAGCTCAGTGGACCCACCTTCTCTACCGCCTTCCCTTGAAGTAGACGCCAGCACAGTGTTCAGAAGGGACAAGGCCGAGAAACTGAACAAGAGTGATGGGTATTCCGTTTTTGTAGATTATTTGTTTGTTTGTCGAGACAAGATTTCTCTGTGCCCTGAAACTTGCTTTGTAGACCAGGCTGGCCTTGAACTGTCAAGAGAACCACCTGTCTCTGCCTCCTGAGTGCTTGGACTAAAGGTGTGCGCCATCATGGCCCGGCTGTAGTTTTTTTTTTTTTTTTTTTTAAGTTTAGTATTTGTAGTAGGACAATCCCCTGCCCCATGGGACTCTGATCATGACAACTGTTAACACTGGAAGGAAGGACCGGGACAGACCACTCTGCGGAGCTCTGTGGGCCTTGCTCTCATGGGCAGTGGCTGGCGTTTTCTCCCCCGCGTCCCTCTCGCTAGAGTCTTCGCTGACTGTAGAGTCGGCATCTGAGGGAGAAACTCTGCAGACAGAAAGCAGAATGCAAACATCAGAGAGGCCTAGAAGGGTTTTAAATGTCTCGTTCATTCCAAAGTAGGCTTTGGCAACAGTCACCATGTCCTGAGAACAGACTGGCAAGGCTAACTGGGCAGGGCGCATTTCAACAACTGCTGGACACTAAGTGCTGGGGAGGAGGTTCCCACAGCTGCTGGGGCCCAAGGCTGAGCCCCTGGCCCAGGTCGTTTCCTGATAGGCAGTCTGGGTCCAACACAGTTGGACGGAAAAGAACCTGGGCTCCAGAGCTGAGGATGTAGCAAAGTGTTTGAACACCAGTCAGCAATTTTAAAGCCCTGGGTTTAATACTTCTGTGAGAAAACAAACAAAAACAACTCACTCTTAAAAATAAAGGTCTGTGAAATGGCCCAGCAGGTGAAGGTGTTTGCCAAAGCCTGACGGTCTGATGGGATCCCCTGAGACCTACACGGTAGAAGGGAACTGAGTCCCAACTATGATCCCTTGACTCCCTCTACACACACACAAAGAGAAGGGAGGAGGGAGGGAAGAATGGAGGGAGGGAGGGAGGGAGGGAGGGAGGGAGGGAGGGAGGGAGGGAGGGAGGACAGACGGGGATTAAAAAGAAGAACCTGGGCTTCTGGCCGGTTTAGCATCAATTGAACCCAAGAACCTTAGGAGGTTAGGGAAGTTATGGGGCTACCCCAATAACTCCAAACCTTTGAAACAATGACCCCAAATGAGATCTGATTTCATGCATGAACGTTAAGGGTAACACGGCACCAGGATGTACCAGGCTAGGTAGGGAACAGCCTTAACCTGTGAGCACTTGGTCTCTCTCCATGCACTTCCTAGCTACAGCTGCAGCATGAACTGCTAATACATTCAGGTGCCCTCGAGGGCCTGTCTACACAGCCATCCCGTGGTCCCTGTGGGCCATGGATGCTCTCAAGTGCCTTACATGAAATGGCTCAGTGTTTGCCTTTAATTACACTATTCTCTTGTAAGCATCTCTAACATTACTTAGAGCGCCTCACACAACACTGTCACTGCAAGAGGTGCAAGAACTGCTTTAAGAATCATGACAAGAATGAGTCTGGACATTTACCACCAACTCGATTCCCCCCTTAGCTTTCTGACCCACCCTTGGCTGGCTCCATGGAGGTGGGACTCAAAGCCGAGCAGGACAACTGTTTCTCCCTCAAAGACCACTGTGGCGAAGGATCAGCTGCTGTTTACTGTAAGGCTATTGGGGAGAAAGCAATTCTTTGAAAACTTTTACCTGTAGTAAAAGTTCCCAGCGCCCAGCTGCCTGGCTAGTTTTCACCCAAAATAATTACATGGAAACTATATTCTTTTAAATACTGCTTGGCCCATTAGTTTTAGCCTCTTATTGGCTAATTCTCACATCTTGATTAACCCATTTCTAATCATCTGTGTAGCACCACGAGCTGTTGGCTTACCAGGGAGATTCTTAACCTGCTTCTGTGTCAGGTAGGAGAATCATGGCGACTCCCTGACTTGGCTTCTTTCTCCCAGCATTCTGTTCTGTCTACTCTGCCTATCTAAGCTGCTGTCCTATCAAAAGGGCCAAGGCAGTTTCTTTATTAACCAATAGACATATGGCCCTCCTCCATCATTTACCAACACATTAAATCATCTCTGGTGATTTGTTGCACTCTATGCCTAGGAAATAATTAAGCCAAGAGTATCCCTCTGCATAATTCATTTTCTTCCCTAAGGACCAAGCTCCAACATCTGTTGAAGATCAGATCCCGGAGGCAGACAAGAGGAGGCACAAGTGACGCCACTGGTTTGGATGTTGAACAGTGGTATGGGCACGGGCTTTTTCCACTACCAGCAGTCAATCAGAAGCCAGGACTCTGAATCTCAAGCAGAGGCTGACAGCGGAAGTTAACCCTGACCAGGCAGTCTTCTTCTAGCTCTTCTCACAGGCAAAGGGCAACAAGGGCTTCCCTGGCAGTTTGGAAAATGAATACACAACTCTCCACAAGCTTTGCTTTAGCACAGGAATTGGAAGTGGACTGGGAGTGGGCATGAGGGAGTGGGTGAGCACCTGTGATGTGTCACAGTGTGGGCAGCTGGGAAAAAACAGAGCCATCAGGAGGAACTGATGAAGGTCACTGCAGACAAAACAAGAGGTCACAGCCAGCCACCAGGAGAGCAGACACAGGCACAGGAGGCCTCCTGACTGAGTACGTGTGGTGGACCAAGCTTAATATTTATTTTATTATTTGACATCTATCTATCTAGTGTGCCACAACACCTGGGTGGAGGTCAGAGGACAACTTGTAAGAATCTGGTCTCTCCTTCCACGTGAGTTCCAGGGATCAAATACAGGTCATCATACTTGGCAGCAAGCTACTTTGCCCGCTAAGCCATTTGCCCCTGCTACTCACTTTACATAATTCTGTATTACCTTCACCAAGCCTAAGACATTCACCTCAGAACACACACAACTCTAGCTGACTGATCCCTAATCAAATCTGGGATTCTGCGGGAGGGAAGAAGTCACACAGTCTCATTTGGTAGTCCAGCAGAAGGGACAGAAAACACTTTGGGGTTTTATATGTGAAACTGGACGAGTCAACAGTCTCCCAGACTGCAGGCTGAAGGCCATACTCATCACCGGCACTTCTGACACCAGAAACAGTCCGAAAGCAGAAACACGCTCTGCAACAGTGAACCATCTGGAAAGCCCAATACTGACCTTCCTCTGTGGCGGATGTTCTTAGGCGGGATCTTTGACTTTGGACTCGGCACATCTCCATTCTCAGAGGGCGTGGCGTGGTCCTTCACGGGTCCCGGCAGCGGCGCTGGCTCGTGGATGATCAGTATGTCATCTTTATTGTGCTGGCCCAGGTGCTGCTTAGCAAAGTCGAAGCCTTTCACACTGGGGATCTGAAGCTAAAGCACACAGGAACAAGGTGGTCAACGTGAGGTCAGAGGCACACGACCCCTGGCCCGAGACTGCCGCAAAGTCAGCAGCCCGATTCAACACACTTCTCTGTAACGGATCAGGTGCCAGGTTCTGTGTATACTTAGAATCCGTCACAGATGCTTATGAAAGGTTAAACAAGAATACAAGGATTAAATAGCAAGACCACAATACAGAATCCATTCCAACAGATCGCTTGCTCCATTGTCACAGACCTGTGAAGTGAGACATTTTTTATAGAAAAGAGAGCACTTCATCCAGGCCCTGGAAATTGTAAAGGCTTCAAAGAGCTTGCTGTGGATCAAAGTTTGAGACAGAGACTACCGGAGGCCTAGCAGAGATTGCATTAGCTGCACTAAAGGGGCAGGATGCAGTGGGGAGGCAGAGAGAGGGGGCCAGGCTCCACATATTTTATTACAAATGGCCGTTTTTAAGATTGCCCTCTGGGTACTCAGACAGTCTCTATTTCTAAAATCTAAGTAGACCAAGCACAAGGACCCAGTGACATCATGTGCACAGACAGAATCAGGACAGGCAGACAAAAGAAACCAGGGGAGAAGAGGTAATGGCCCGAAAGTCTGAGGCAGGGCCTCTCCAACATGGAGGTGACATTAAGGGTGCGTCCTGGAAGAGCAAAGTTTCCAGGAGATAAAACACAGGCTTCCCTTTCAGCATGATTAGTCTGAAAGACAGAAGAGGCCTCAGAGGAAAGCAGCTCCAGTGGGCTGGAGACAGAGGACAATAGCTCAGGAGCCGGTCAGTCTGAGAGGTGCCCCTGCTGGTTATCCGCCCAGTGACGGCAGGCCTGAATGTGGAGTCGCTGTTGAAAAACCATCTAACAGGTTGGAACTGGGGGACAGAAAAGGAAGCATAGAAGAAAACAGGAGACTTCAAATAAACAGACCAGTCTGTTAGTTCAGTGTACCGGAAGTTGAGGGAAGGATTTCTATAAGGAGTGGTCTGCAGCAGAGACCTGCAGAAACAGCCTGTGCTCACTGGTGGTCACGGTGCTCTCTCTGGGGACACCAGTACACCCGACACCACAACACCCAGAATCAGACCCTGGGAGCTGCACCTTCTCTAGGCTTCAGTTTCTGAGCCTACGGTGACGGACAAAGGACATTCGTGACACCGATATGCAGAGTACCCAGTGTGGTGACATCATTTTAATGATATGACAAACTCTATTAACAGTTTCCTTAAGTCCAGTCTGCAGGGCATGGGAAAATGGGAATACACAGACAAAGCTGCCCTAAGGGACTGGGGAGATGGATCAGTTAAGATCACTGGCTGTTCTTCCAGAGGACCTGGGTTCCGTTCCCAGCGCCCACATGGTGGCTCACAACTGTCTGTTCATTCCAGTTCTAGGGATCCAATGCCCTCTAGTCTGACTTCTGTGGGCATCAGGAACACAGGTGGTATGCACTCATACATGCAGGCAAAGCACTTATACACACACAAAATAAAAAAATTAATTAAGTTAGAAACACAAGAAGCTGTCCAGAGGGGTCTGCTGATCAGGAATGCTGCCAGACTCGCTCAGAGTCCTGAGGAGTACTCTGCCATCTAAGGAGTACTTCCACACAACGGACTATGTGGACAGTACAGTGTGTATACACACACACACACACACACAAGCAAAAGCTGTTGTCATAACGCATTACTTTCAGCCTTAAAAGCGACCCTGTCGGCTTAGGTTTGCGACCTGAAGTCTGCAATAACGACTGGTGCCGGCAGAGGGCGACAAATGGTACAGTAAGGACCGTTTACAAAGAGTTGCTTGGACAAAAGGCAGAGCAGCTGGCAGCCACAGTCTCTAATTAAATGAGCTTCCTTCATGAGAGCAGGCTGCTGTTCCACGCATCCCTGGACCCAGGAACACTGCATGGGAAATGACAGATCCACGCTGCCTTTCCTCAAGCGGGTCACCTGGACTCCTTTGGTGGACAAACACTTCCTGGAAGCAGAGGCTCCCCTCTCCCACACCCCTCCAGCAGCCCTGTTGCCCTTACAGAAGAGAAGCCCTGCTCTTAGGAACACAGTGGCTTCTTGGAGTTCTGCACACAGAGAACAGAAACCTCTGGAACATCAAATAATGGCATCTCAAAGCTCTTAGCAGACCCCTTTCACCAAAGCACAGTAAGCCTGGAGATGGCTTCCTCTTTCCCTACCTTAAATGTACTTCCCGTGTGCACGCGTGATACACACATGTGAAGTGTATGAGCATTTGTTTGTGCATAGGTGTGGAGGCCAGAAATCAGACTGCATGTATATATGTGTACCACATGCATGCCTGGTGCCTGTGGAGGTCAGAAGAGAGCACCAGATCCCTTAGAACTGGAATTACATACAATTGTGAGCTACCGTGTAGGTGTTAGAAATCAAGCCCAGGTTCTCTGCAAGATCAACAAGTGTTCTTTTTTAAAATTTGCTTGTTTTGTTTTTCACGACACGTTTCTCTGTGTAACAGCCCTGGCTGTCCTGGAACTCACTCTATAGACCAGGCTGGCATTGAACTCACAGAAATCCACCTGCCTCTGCCTCCTAAGTGCTGGGATTAAAGGTGTGCGCCACCATTGTCTGGCACGCAACAAGTCTTCTTAACCATTGGGCCATCTCTCCAGCACCCCACCTTGTTTTTCTTCCATGGTACATAGCAATCTGAGATGGAGCTAGGCTGGCTGCCAGCAATTCCTAAAGAGTCATCTGGAGCCACCTCCCCAGTGCTGGGATTACAAGAGCACGCTATCTCTGCCTGGCTTTTTACATGGAAGCTGGGGATCAAACTTAGGCTCCCATGCTTGTACAGCAGGCACACGGTGGTGGGAACCGACTCTGGTCCTCTGCAAGAGCGGACAGCAGTCTTTGTTGTTGTTGTTGATTGTTTGGTTTTTGTTTTTTTGAGACAGGGTTTCGCTGTAGCTATCGAGCCTGTCCTGGAACTAGCTCTTGTAGACCAGGCTGGCTTCGAATTCACAGAGATCCGCCTGTCTCTGCCTCCTAAATGCTGGGATTAAAGGCGTGTGCCACCACCTCCCAGTTAACAGACTTAACCACTGAGCCATCTCACCAGGCCCATCACATGCATTTCTTGAATGGAGAATTCCATTGGGATGCCGCGAACTCACATTTTGCAGAGGAAACAGCAGGAGCAGGGTTGTTTCTATTTAACATCATCTTTACCACCTTTGGAGACCTCTCTCCTGCAAGGAATCAGTGAGAAGAGAGCAAAGAAGATGGCATCGGGGTGTCTTGAAAGTGCAGGCTTAGCGGGGCATCCTCAAGATGCAGGCTTAGTGGGGCATCCTGAAGGTGCAGGCTTAGCGGGGGCATCCTGAAGGTGCAGGCTTAGTGGGGCATCCTCAAGATGCAGGCTTAGCAGGGCATCCTCAAGATTTAGGCTTAGCGGGGCATCCTTAAGGTACAGCAGCCTTAGGCTTTGTCTGTGCAGCTTGGGAGGGATGTGTTTGAGATCTGCACGGCAGCCCTAGAAACACGAAGTACACCCTGGGTGCAAGGTCACCACTCTCCACAACCCAAGGGCTTGTAAGCACCAAGTTCATAAGACCTCAGCCTGGCTCTCTGTTGTTATTTCCTGAATCCAGTCCTCCTGCTATATGGCCCAGGCTGGCCCTGAACTTTCTTGGCTGGTCCTCTGCATGCTAGGATTAAGAATGTATGCTACTACGCCTGGCCAAGCCTGGATCTTTTCTTTTTCCCTTGATCTTTTTATTTTTATTTATGTGTATGATTGTTTGCCTCCATGTGCTGCTTATATGTCTGGTATCTGTGACCCCAGAACAGGGTATCAGATCCCCTGGAACTAACTGCAGGTGGTTCTGGGTCACATAGTTGGTGCTGGGAACCAAACTTGGGTCCTCTACAAGAGCGGCCAGGGCTCTTGACTGCTGATCAATCTCCCCAGCCTGAGAGCCAAGGTCTTTATTTTGCATCAAACGACAAGGGAGTAAAAATTTTCATATTTACTTATAAAACAATGAAAACTCCAACTTAAAATCAATGAAGGGAATGATAGAACCAAGAGAGCATTTTTGTTTCCTTGAACCTTTATTCAGTCCTGCAGGAAACTCCCGTCAGCTCCTGTCAATCACCGGATACCACAGTCGGGTTCAGTCACCTGAGGCTCCCCCGGCAGCACTCTCTTGTTCCTTTGTACACATTAGCTGCAGAGCAAGACATCTGGACTTTGGCATAAATACTGTGTGTAAGGGGCTGGAGAGACAGTTCAGAGGTTAAGAGCACTGCTGCTCTTGAAAAAGACCTGGGTTCAAGTCCCAGCCTCCATATGGGGGCTCACGATCATCTGCCAACACCAACTCCAGGGCTCTCACCCCTCTTCTGGCCTCCAAGTGCCCCTCCATGCATGTGGTACACACATACACACTCAGGCACATAAATACACATAAAAAAATACATATCTTTTTTAAAAATAATATACTTAACAGCAATCAGCAACACACCCTTCACAAGCTCCACACTCCCTAGCCTAATATTTTCAGCTCATTTGTTTTAAGTTCCCACAATGATCCAGTTGAGCTCTTTGTTTGGTTTTCGAGACAAGGTTTCTCTATGTAGCCCTGGCTGCTCTGGGACTCACTCTGTAGACCAGGCTGGCCTCAAACTCACAGAGATCTGCCTGCCGAGTGCTGGGATTAAAGGTGCACACCAGCACTGCCTGACTTCAGCTGAGCTCTTAAAGGCAAAGCATGTATTGTATATATGGGTAGAGGAAAAATTAGGCAACCCCTGAACCTTACAAAATAAATAAATAAATATACTAGGATGGGTTCCTGCCTATCAGATTAAGATATACTATTCTAACTTAGTAAATATGTAACTGTAAATATTATTTTCATCTTGAAATTATAAATCTACGTAGCCACATAATTCTCAAGCATTTATCTATGAAGCCTTTTTAAGATGGCTAGAAAACTGACAATTTGACACC